TTACTGCGAATAGAAAAAATACTTAATGTGTTTTTAAGGACTGCTATCGATACCTTTTTAAAGAATGGTATCTTTAAATACACAAATCTACTGATGACTCAAGAATAGGTAGTAGAGTTTTCTTGCAGGAATTGAATAAATCTCGGAGGAATAATTTACAGATTACCTAATTCTGAAGTGATTTTCAAACAAAAGTGAGCGCCAGTGGAGAAGCTATTGCTTGTCTGAAAGTGGGTTACATATTCGATAGGAATAAATACATGCTATTAGATAATCAATTTGATTTCAAATCTTTGAATTTAGTCCATTTTAGTTTTTCTTTCAGGTACCATTTCAAGTCTCTTAAAGTCTTTGAAACGGATTTTGTCTGTTACACATCTCTGAAGAAAATATCTACGCAGTTTAATATTTTTATACTCTGGGTTTCAATCATACGGATGTTTTTGAGAATCTTGGTCAGCTTCAGGACCAACTTTAAAGAGCTCTTGAACTTTTGAAAAGTTTTAGATAGACTATTATATAGCAACATAATAAGTCTAAATGGACCCATACATTGTACATTATTATGTTTATTATGTATACAAGAATACATTATTTTACAAAAATAAGAAACTGGTTAAGAAACCCTGATATAGAGTACTACGCTGTTCCACAAATACTGTTACTATATTACTCAATGACAGAGCTCATTAAATACCATCATAGTTTATTGGATTTTTATAGTGAACATATAGTATAGTGTTATATTAAATAATAACCACATATAACAAATTATTTATATTATTACTTTTCAATAAAAATGGTACACATATCTAAAACTATTTAATTTTCAATTCAAGTCCAATTAACGAGAAATCCTTTAACCTCGAAAAAACCATCTATTCGAACTATAAAAATTACAAACTAAACCACACATATGACATGTCCCGTCTGTTGTCTTAAAAGAACATATCAACCAATAGCTCTTGTTTGCGTTCCAAATACAGCACTTGTTCTAACAGAATACTATTTAACATGTAAGCATGGCGACCAGGTAGGGCTTGCTTGAATGACTGAAGTTATTGATCAGAGTGAGTCAAAATATTGTTCACTTACTTTGTCATTATACAGCACTTAACAAAAGGCGTGCACCCACTATAGGTTCTAACTTGCTTTATTATCTATTTCAATTGCACCCAGAATGTATGGATTAAAGACATTGGCCACTTTATACAGATGAGTCTAAAATGGTGTAACCTATTCAAAATTCTTACAACTAATTAGTGCTATTAAATTTTTTGTGCTATGAAATCGTCTCAATTCTTAGGGCCCCAATTCCATTAGACATTAGACGAGCTGTTACTGGCATCTGTTTATCTAACTAGTTAATATAATTTTTTGATTAGTTGTAATGAAATGTTTTGAATGAATAATGAAGTAAAATATTTTACTAAAAAGTGAAATTGATAAATTACTAAGTTAAACTGTAAGTACGTGTTAAAGTCAAACAATAAAAATAAAATTTTAATTAAAATTTATTCAATTGTTTATATCACAACTGAACGCGTGGAACGTGAATGCTTGGAATTTATTGAGACAAAAACGTAACTAAAGAGCAATGCAAGAATGACGAATATTTTATTAATTGATATGGAATTACATAATTTTATATAGTAGTAAATATATATAAAAAAAAATAAAAAAAATAGAATTAAAAAATTCATTCTATGAGTACAAGTAGTAATTGTAATAGTTGAAATGAAAGAATGAAGACGTGAAGGAAATGATAAGCCTCACCTAGAGGCATTGTCCATTCGTATCAGTTATTGTTATAAATGTCTATTAAGCACGCTTTCCATTATAAAGAATATATATTTACGCATTCTTCAAGTAAAAAATACAAAAATAATTATAAAAACTAAAAAAATTGTTTTGCAAAAGTATGTACATTTTAAATGTTTAGACAGGGCTGTGAATGTCCTATCTTATCTAAGGTATAATAGATAGATAAGCAACGATTTGTAAAGTGATAAATATGTGAATTTTTTTATGTACAAAAGAGTGAAGAGAAATATAATTGAAAAAATATGTAGATAACCAAAAATATCTTAAAAAATGGAGCCATGTATTTATACTGTAAGCGTTTTGATTGTAAAAGTTAAATGTAATTATATATAATATAATTACTTGATAAAATTCAGTCTTCTTACGAAGAAAGACACCTATTTATTGAACCAAAAGTTAGGATTAAAATCCAACCCTTTGCTGATTTTTGACCGCTAAAAATGTATGAGTATGAGTATGAGAAAACTCTCTGGGGTAGATTAGTTTATAAATTTATGTTGGGAATGGTAAATACAAAATTAATAACTGTTCATTTAACAGTGTATACGTCTAACCGAAACAACTTAGAGTCTATAACTTTCAGAAACCTCTCCAGTTTTACTAGACTAAGAATAATAATAATAATAATAATTTTTAGGTACATTGTTTAGATACGATTTGCGATGCTTAAATAAACCACCTATGTAAGCATTTAAAGAATTAAACTTATTGCGAACGATACTGTCTCCATGATATATGTCTATGTTAATAAAAGATATACTTTCATTCTTAGCGAAATTAATATCTTTATTATATTTAAAGGGATGATATACTATCAGACTTTCATCCAATCACTTTTCAAATAAATATTAAAAAGAAAATACCAACTCATTTTCAGTCATACCGAGAATGAAATTTTTGAATTAGAAATGTTTTGTGATTAGAAATCTAATTTTACACATTAAAATAAACTGATTAGTATTACCCACTTTCGTGGATAATAAAAGAATTGAAAAGTTATGGTTAAGAGCTGCAAATATTTTAATAAGTAAAAAGTTGTATGTTGCGTTGCTGTTTTCAGTTAAAATGTCTCTCAATATTATATGTACTTGTGTTAAAGCTATTATTATAACCCGAATAAGAGTACTGACCGATATGTAGCCTTTGTAGACTAGTAATCCCGTAGTGTAAATACGGTTGCTTAAGTCTATATGATTTATTATGCCGATAAAATAGTTCTAGATTTATAATTTATCAAATTCATTTGGAAGAGAGAGAATACTAGAAAAAAAGTAGTCTCACGAAACAGTAATACTACTGTGTTGTGATTAAAACCATATTGCGGTGAGATGAACTCAACTATAAGTAGTGACTTATGAACTTTGTCAGGCGATATCTGTTTTTTTTTTTATCGTTTGCACTTGTGAAATTTCATTGATATTTTTATAAATAGTTCATTGACATTGTATAAAGTATAAAGTGAAGTTTTATCTTCGTTAATCTACTGATATTGTTGAAATCTAAATTGAATATACTTTTTCAAATAAGATTGTACCAGTAAAAAAATTATAATTTTATACAACATTCTTCCCTGAAAATATAGTCAAATAAATTTAGAAACCTTCGCGAATTTTATAAATAAAATAATTTTATAAAATCAATAATAAAATGATAATATTAGCAAAAATATATATTATCAAAAGGGAATTCTGTATAATTACAAAAACTTATAATAAATTATACACTTATCTATATGTTATATAAAGTATAACTGAACACAATGGGTGGAAGTGGAACTATTTTCTTATTTCAGAAATTTATGTGCAAACATGTAATAGTAAGTTTTTATACTTCGGTTTAAACAAATATTGTGCTGATATATGTATAGTAATAAATAATACTTTTAATTGAACACAATGAATCTGAAATGTTAAATAAAACCTGGTTTCTTAATTTCAGGAATTCGGTGTAAACCTATAATGATTAGGGGTTATACTTTCGTTTAAACAACTATTAGGCTGATATTCTATAGATATTAATAATAATAAATACAGGTCACTGCAAACTAGGGAACCATGCTAAAAGATTAAATCTCCTTATCAATCAAATCTGTCGCAATTGTGGGGAAGACGATGAGAGTAGCTCTCATCTACTATGTCTTTACCCAACTCATGCACGGCGGCGATTTAACACTTTAGGAGGCCCTTGTCTTGAGGATCTTGATCAATTACAAGACCTGACACTAAACAGCATTTTAAGTTTCGCCAACATAGAACAGCCGGTATAACGTAACCTCACCTAATAATAATAAAATGCAAGTTGGTATTAAGTTGTAACGAATGGAGTTACTTAGATGCTGAATAAAATTAAAATTACAGGCTCTAAGGAAATAACCATACATTTCCTAAACGTGTATATTTCATAACAAATACAAAATAGAAATCAACAGGCATATTAGTTTCGAATAAATATTTCCTATTTCTGTAATGCTGTCAGAGACAGAGACGTTGACCCCATCAGGCTTTTTACCTTTTTGTAAAATAAAAAAAATAGAAATCCCATTTGACTTACGGTGGCGAATAAACATTTCTACTGCTACCCTCTTTACACGCAATGAGACAATAACCCTTTACTAGGTCAAACTGCAGCAATAGAAGAGAAGAATTTTAAATGCGATTACAAACAGAAATAGTAGACGGAAAAGATTAATAAAACAAGGCACAAGCATTATGGTTCAACGCCTAGAACTATGCAATAATAAAACGTACATGATTCAATATAGAACTTATAAGAATATGAAACTTATGGTATTTGATAGAAAATACATTATATGAAAAAGCTACTAATAAAAATTACATAAGCAGAAATAATTATTTTCGTAATAAATATTTTATTTATAGATTCTATACAGCTGGTCCACAGACTTTGTGTGCTATATGAGAAAGCCTTCCAAATAATAAGTTGTATATATACGAGTAACTTTTTTTCAATTATACTGTATTCTTTTACAAGACATATAAAATAAAAAGTTAATACACAATAATATTAATTTTTATATTATAAATTATTATTGTTGTTTAAAAAGTGACAACAAAAGCTGTTTCAGAATCAAAAAAAAAATAGCACTTCATATAAATTTCTTTTTCCTGCTAAGTATATTAAAGCAAAACTTAAAGCAAATTTATAAACAAACTCACCTTGAGGAGCGATTATTGTGCAAGTATATAAACGTTGAAATTTATCTGACTTTTTTTTTTACTAATTAACAATAAGAAATATTTTACTGGTTTTTAAAAATTGAAGAAAACTGAGTAAATAGAATTTTCCACATAAAGTTAATTTTAAACAAAGAAATTTACGTGGCTGCAGATCGTGAGAAACATTGAACACAAGCAAGCCGATATATTACAAATAAATTCGTTTAAACAATTTGGGCTTGGATAAATAAAGTTTAATTACCACGACAATCACACAATACCAATAGAAAATATAACTTTGTGCCGTTTATATTCACTAATTTTGATTTCGTCCAAAATAGTCTGTACAATTAATTTTTATTTTACTTAGTTGCCATTTGTATTGATAAATTAATCATATCAAGCTTTTTAAATTTTTATCGTCCACGAAATCGTCATTTGTTTTTCAAAATCTTTATTCTACGAATTTTTGTGTCTTCTTTGAATTTATTTTCTGTTTTCTTAACATTCATTTTTGTGCGTTTTTAACATCATTATCACTATAATATTTCTGTTAATGGAAAACATAATTTTACTGTATCTTTCATTAGCATTAATATTTTATTATTTTGTTTATATTAATTAAAATTTTTTACGAAATAAACCAATCCCGCGCACCTTTTCCATTGGCAACAAACAATGAAGTGAAAATTTGCACACAAGACTTTTATATGTCGAAACCATGCATGACAATTGGATACAAAGAGCGAGACAAATATACTATCACAAATAATTCAAAGAAAGTAAACAAAATAAACTATCAAAATTGTTTTGACTATGTTCACTAAAATATTATTCAACCACCCATTTGGCAATTTACACACTACGCACATATGTTAAGCTGCACCACACCAAAGCGCACACTTGCAAACGAACGAATATTCGCAGGTAATCGTAACTGCAAAAGTTCGTTAGTTCGCAAGCGTTCGCTTGGTGTGAAAGCACCTTAAGGTTTCGAAGCAAGGCGATTCCTATTTCATTGCATATTTATATCGGTTATATTTACACGAGCTACTCGTAGTAACTTTGAGTAACACTGTGTATACACAAGTGCGTTCTACCAGCAAGTTTTCTCAAAATTAGCTAACTTGAGCAATTTTGTTACTACTCTATTAAATTAATAGTTAATAACCTAGTATTGGCTAAACATTAGAATTCTAATATAAAAGCTGTATTATTTAAATATTTTTTATAAATTACAATACAAGTTATAATTAAGTTATAATTATATTTTGTTTATGAGTGCTTTCGATAAAAATAAAAATATAAGAGAAATTATTGGGTCAATTGACCAGCTGATCAGTTCCAACTAATGAGATTTAGTTGGTTCGTAAGCAATCAGTTGACCAGTTCTAGCTAATAAGAAACTTTGTCTTCGATTATTGAAGCCGAAGTACAAGTAGCAGGAAACAGAACTTATAGTACATTTACACTGTCTCATTTAGACGGTTTTGCTCATTTAAGGCAAACAAAGTCTAATGCAGCCCTTGTAAATAAATTTCCCACAAGGGAAAAAAAAGAAATATGTATCATATGTTTAAAATGTGAAATGCAAACAAATACATTGGAAATAATGAAAAAATAAGTATTTAATAAAATCTTTGTTTTTAGTAATTAAATCTGTAATTGATATACAAAATGCATATAAATGGTTTAATATATCAATTATATATATATAATTTTTTTATGTGATATATTGTTAACTGATATATATAATAGTTCTATTAACTGCATAATTATAATAAAATGAAAGTGCACTTATTAATATAAATAAGCAAGTGCCTAAATGAGACAGTGTGGATGTAATAACAGTAAAATTTTGGTATTTAATGTAAACGTGAGAGAAATATATATTATATTAGCTGTTGTAAACAGTCTATTAGAATTTTCTTCCAAAAATCATTCACAATAGATCAGTTTTAAGATTTGGCACCAATCTTATGGCACCTATAATACAACTATAGTTATTTCTCAACTATACACTTCTTAGTTCATTTGACTTTTTTACGTTGTCTTCACCTACTCCTACCAATTCAGCCTTAAACAAATAATAAATTTTTTTCATGGAATATTTTCTTTTTTAACAAAGAATAATGATTTCAAAACATCGCTATGTGTTTATTTCTAATATAGCAAAATAATTTAATTGCACAATTTGAAATTATTTAAACAATTTAGTTGTAATGAATTTTTATCAGTAAAATGCTTTTTTGAGATAGGCACGCTACAAAAAATTAAATGCAAAGTTTAAATGCTCAGAAATTTATTGGTTAATAAAAAATAAATCATCTTTTAGTACTATGTCTTAATCGATAATGATTTGTTATTTAAATTATCGTTGATAGAACTTTGAAATCAACAAAATTTATTTTTAATTCATTAATAAAAAGTTTTTTTTTTTTCATTGTTAAAATTTAAAAATATCTTTTTCATTTGATGTTTAAAAATTAAAATTAGATACAAATTTATAAAAGTTCCTTGCCATTTTAATTTTATTAAAGTTATATTTATTTTTCTGTGCATGATTTTAAAATTGTTTATTGTTTTCAACATAAATCCAATAAACATAGCTCATAGGAAGTTTTGAAATTTGTCAGTTTTAAAAATGAATCTCTTTCCAACACTGAATACTAACAATTTATGAAAATTAAAACTCAGTGGGACTGAATGCTATTTGAAATTGTTTACTTTTACTGTTTGTACAGATTGTATAGCTATGGATAATTATAAAGTAATAAATAAGGAACTAATAGATCAAATTCGAGAGATGAGAAATGAAATAGCTATTTATAAGCAAGAAATTGTGGAACATAAAGCGGAAATAATGGAACAGCATCGTTTGCGTATCGAACAAAAAAAAGCGTTTATCGCATTAATAACACAAAGTTTCAGAACAGTTTTAAATGATATAGATCCAGAGCTGAACATACAAAACTTATTAAGTAACACAGTCAACAATAGTGAAGAAAATAATCTTGATAGTAAGAATATAAATCAAAGATCGCGAAACAGTCGTAGCTCTAAAGTATTTATTGATTTTCGACGACGCTCTTCAAATTTACAGCAAAGACCAAGCAGTGTAAAAATGTCACCTACTTGCAAACGTTCGGTTGAATCAGTTGTAGAACAGAATGAAACATCATTAGAATCAGACGACATACAATCGATAAGTGACAGTAGTGTTTATATATCTAAAGAAAACGATTTGGAAGAGAATGAAGAATCATTAGAGCAGACAGCACAAAGTTTACGATTGAATAAAATTGTTGAAGAGGATACACTTGAAGAAGTTACGCTTAAAACAGTTGTTCCAGTGCATGAAAAACAGGTGATATATACAGCTAAAAAGCAAGGCCTACGAGATATTACAAATGTGGACAAGTCAACAGCAAGCCCTTTGGAAATTAACCACCGTGGTAAAAATCACACTAGCTACGAAGAGAGTATTGAGGCAGCACGCTTTGCGAACGAAATAGAAAGAATTTCTATTGATAGTAAGTAATAAAGACAATTCAACTATGTTCTCTAAGATAGATTTGGAAATGATTTCAATTTACAAAACATTATTTGGAATAATGGTTACTTTTTGTTAATTAAAAAAAAATTGATTTTAATAAATGATTTTAATTAATTTAAAAAATGAAGTTGCGAATAGATAATTCTGAAATATCAAATGAACATAATGTATTATTATTATTTAATGGTATTTTTTTTTTAGATAATACAATTAATACTATCAACTTTGCCATAAGTGATCTGTCAATAGAAACTTTTTTCCAAGCTCCGTGTAGCACGCCTACACTTACTGTGAAAGAGAAAAACTTCTACAATCTTCGTGACAAGACTGTAATTATACCTGAAAATAATAACAGTTTGAAGGAAAATCAAGGCTCTAATGACACCTTAACATCATCAACATCCTCAAATAGTAATTCTAGACCACAACGCAATCGTACAAAAAAAAATTATAAAGAACTTAGACTGAACGTGAAAATGCGTTCAGATAGTACGGAAACTAAAGCACAGAAAAAAAAATCTGGCAAAAATAAAAAATAATATTTTAAAGTTATTATATTTTAGTTTTTATATTTTAATTGAAACCATATGAAGACATTTATTGTTTTAAAATGTTTTATTTATTTTGGTTTGCAATAATTGATAAATAATTTTTTTAAAACCAAAGTTTCAAGGCGTTTTTAAATATTTTTTATAAATTGTTGATTATAAATTTTTTTAGAAAAAATGTACATGTGAAAAATAAATTTTTTGTAATAAAAATTAAATAAAATACAATATAGGCGTTTAACAAAGCATTTAACAATTTTAAATTGATGGGGGTTTTTTAAATATATTGTGTTTGCCTTATTTATATACACTTAAAGAATAACAGTTATGTATTTTTAAACAACTTCAAATTTACCCAAACAACAGTTTAAATGATCCACTGTTGGTTGTGGGGCTATCATTGGAACATCCTTCGTATTTTCTTCTATATCTTGTATTATATCTTGAATTTTCGATATAATCTGTTGCGAATTCTGTGAATTTATTTTGTTGTTAGACGCATTTACATTTAAATATAAATCATTTTGCAACTTCACTTGGTCTGGAGCTACCGCTGGATGTTGCGATGATTCATTTATGTTAGAATCATCTGTAATATTTTCTCCCAATGAGGTATTCAAATGATTTTTCAAAACTAAGGTTTTTGGTAATTCAACATTTAAACTGCTAACTAAATTATTCAAGGCAGATATTTTTTCTCGTAATTGTTCGCGCTCTATCTGCAGCAATTTCATTTGTGCCGCCTTTTCATATTCACGCTGTTTAAGAATCCGCCGTTGGGTTTGATAGAGTGTTATATATTCTCCTATTGTTTCTGTTTCACCTTGCAGTTGTAATACTAAATGCTCCAAACGTTGCTTTTCATCCGTAAGATCGGCAACTTGTGACATTAGTTGTGTAAATCGCTGTTGTAATTTTTCTATTGCGTCTGCTGTGGCTATATGCGGCATATTTGCATCAATATTTTTACGTGAATACGTATAGATGTTCTGCTGCTCGAAGCGTTTGTTATCGTTATAATCCTCTTGTGCTTCTTGACATGAGTCACTTTCGGAATATTTATAAGTTTTGTGATCGACATTTGCATATCGTTGTAATTTTTCAAAAGTCTGTTCTTCACTACATTCGTGTTCATGCGAATGACTATGAATATGCGAGGGATTATGCTCTTCCGAATGCTCATTATCATGCGTGAGGCCATGATCGTGTGAGTAGTCGTGATCGTGTGAGTGTTCATGATCGTGCATATGATCATAATCGTGTGAATGGTCATGATCGTGCGAGTGGTCATGCTCATGATGTGAACAATCATGTTTATGCTTATGTCCTTTTTCTTCTGTATGTTCATGGTTTAACTCTCGCATTGCATCCATGTGCACATTTTCATTAGAGTTCATTGTAGACTCCGTCTAAAAATGATATTGATAGTTTTATTTTTTTTTCATTAAGTACTTTATGTATATAAATAATTAATAAATTAAAGTAAAATAATTCTAATATATAAAATTAATATATTTTTTATATTCAATTTTTCTAGACTATGTTTCGAGATTTTCTTTGTGGGGACGGATATTTTATTATACGAGTACAGAATCCACTAAAATTACTAATCGTTGGTGATATGAAACTGATAAAACGTATAAGAAAAACGTCACATACATATTAATTTTTTATGTTAATTTGTTTATCCTTAACATTAAGATTAATATTACTTTAATCTCAACAAAAAATAAGGATTATAATAGGAAGCTTCGTTATTGCTAACACAGTCATTGCAAATTCCTTTAGTTTTCCGCTATTTGTTTTACTATGTATTAAACTTTTTATCAAACTTTTCTAATACTCGTACCAGATGTGAACAATATATATATATATATAAATATAAAATATGTAAAATAATATAATAAATACTAACCGGTGTGTGTAAAAATTTTTTTAACTGGTGTTTCAACATTACATTTATTCTAATAATTTCCACATTCTCATGGGATAAACGTATCATTTCGTCATCTTTAAATTTAAAACGTTCGTCCATTGTATGTATACGATCCTCCATCGTGTTATAATTTAAACGCATTTCACGATTTGCATATTCTTCAGAATCGAGTTTATTCATCAATTCAGCTTTATCATTAGTTAATTGCACAAAACGTAATTCTAATTCATCCAATTGTTTCTTTAGTTCGATATTTTGTGAAAGAGCTCTTGAAGCAGCTACTTTATCGGATTCCATTGTGGCAAGTAATTTCTCCTTATCTGGCTGTTCAACAGAAACTCTTTCAAACTGTTCCGTTAGGTTTTCGATTTCACTATTTTTTTGACTTAATTGGTTATTAAGCATGTCCAAACGATCTTCCTGTGATTTTATTTTTAATTGAAATTCATGGCGTTCACTGTCGAAATCACTTATTGTTTCCTTTAATTTTTCAATTTCATCGTTAGATTCCCTTTGTAAGTTTTCAACGTTTTCCTATTAAAATACATATTTTAATATTTTTTTAAGCAAAATATTTTTTAATTTACTTGATCCTGTTTCATTCGTAATTGTTCTTGCTGACGGCTGATATTTTTTTGTATATCACGCTCAAGACCGCTGATGTGTTCCACAAGTTGACGCTCTCGTTCCTGTAGTCTTTGATGTTCATTTACTAGTTCAGTGTTCTTCTCATTCAATTTGGTTACTTCCGTGTTTAAATGTTGAACATAATTTTGATATTGCAAATTTGCTTGTTCCTTGTCCTGTGTGAGTTGCTGCACCATCGCCTTGAAGTAAAAAATGTCAAAGAAAAGTTATCATTCATTTAAAGCGGTGAGTGGTTACCTGTAAGTCTCTTATTTGTTGCTCGTACATGAATTGGGTTTGAGTTAGGGTCTCAACACGGTTATCCTTACTAACGTTAGCTTCATCGGACAATTGTCTTATTCGTATTTGCGCCATTTCATTTTCATTACATTTCTCTTTAAACTGTTGCGTTAATTCAGTGTTTTGAGTTTGCATTGCGGCCAATTGACGTCTCAGTTCGTCCAAATGTGCTACTTGTTCTTCATGATCAGCATTTAGAAGTGAGTATTTGTGCATTAACTCTGCATTCTGACGCTCTGTTTTCTCAACAGTTTGATGTTCTTGCATAACACGTTTCTGTAACTCATCTTGGCGTTTTGAAATGTTGCTTAATTGGACTCCCAATTCCTCTAGCTCTAAATCCTTTTCTCGACAAACTGTTTTATATTTATTAAGTTCTGTAGTCAATTGAGATTTTTCCTGTATTAACAATTGTATTGCATTAACATTATATTGATTATTGGCCTGTTGCTCTGATGCTACTGATGCAGTATAAGCAGGAAAACTGTCTGTAACGTTTACAGGTACAGCATTAAAATATGAGGCAGCATTCGGAGTAGCTTCAATAGGCTGTGTGAATCTTTGTTGTAACGCGTTGACGAATGCATTGTTTGTGTTAACTTCTGTTTGTGGAGTCGCATTATTGTCCTCGGCATTAACTTGACCATTTAAACTTAATTCAGAGTTCGATTTCTCAGATATACTACTTGAGCCGCTTGCATTTTTAGCCGCTTCTGCTGCAGTTCTCAATTGATATTCCCTTAACTAAAAGTAAAAATAAAATTGAAAATAGTGAGATATTATTTTAGTCACTCGTTATTAAATAGCGCATCTTTTTTCATGACTTGTGACGTGGCTTTTTGTTTTATTATTATTTTAAAGCACCTTTTTTTTAGCAGCTGCTATTTTTTGCGCTTTTATTTCCGCTTCTTCATTAAGCATATTGAAATCTTTTTAATATTTCTCAGCTATCCTTATTACAATTTTAATCCTTTACTTCATCAACCAACCCATACAAAAGAACATGAAAATTTTCGCTGTTAAAAAAATAAACATAGGAATTGACGTTCCCTGTTGTTGACATTTGTTGTTTTTGTTTTAAGTTTTTAGTTAAGCGTTGCCATATTTATTTTTCTGGAGAGCTTATAAAAAGTTAGAAATCATAATTTTGAATATAGAATTTCAGTTAAACTATGGTTCACAAATACCAAATACTGATTGTGCACCTTGAAAATGATGGTATATTCTCAGTGAATGGTATGGCTATGCAATTCCAAAAAGGTGGTACAGAGATATTACTTTTCTATATTAATTTATCAAAAAATTCTTTGTATCACAAACGCTCATTGTTTTATTTTTTCTATAAACTTATTTTATTATTACAATAAGCTTTTAAGAAGCATTGACTTCGCTTAAATGAAGATTGATACGTAGCTATTATTAAAAAAGAGGCATATATTAAATATTTCTGGTATTAACTTTAAAAATGAAATAATATTTTACATTTATGATGTATAGTACAATTAGATTTGCTTTTGTTATAATAAGCTTCAAAAGTCTAGCATAAGTTTATATTCAAATAGGAGGTGACGGTAATTAAAATATAAGGAAATTTGAAATAACAATATTTATTATTAATATATTAACGATTGCTATTATTTACACAGTTTAATATAAACTGCATTATTGTCCCAGAACGTTTTACTCAGTAACGAAATCGACAGTAACTGAATACCCAATTTTTAAAAAAAGTAATAAAATAAAACATTTAGATTAATGCTGGGACCATTAAAAAAAGAATATCGGTTATTTTTGTTTATATTTAAAGGTGAATAAAATCATTAAGAAAAATCAAATCTATTGTCTTTGTTTATATTTACAGGTGAAATCTCAATTCAATAAATTCAAAAAAATTTGGATCGAATATAATGAAGGAAAGTCAAGACGTCAAAAATTTAAAAATATATAACAATTACAATATTAAAAGTTAAATATTATAATTTTTAGAAGAGTTTTATATATTAGTTGTACTATAGTTTTATTAAAAATTAAACGAAAACACCTTTGAATTATTTTATAACCGAAGCCAAAACGAAGTAGAAATCACTTCGGTTTAAATTTTCTAGAATAAAGCGTATTTTCTTAAAGCGTATCTAAAAAACATCAATTTAATAACTACATAATACTAATTTTAGAATTTATATATATATATAATATTCAAATTTTAATTTCTCCCCGAATATCACAGTAGAAGACAAAAATAGATATCGATTAGAAAATTGTAATATAAAAATATGTATTATTTGAAAAATCAATCAAGATGTAGAGGTTAAAAAATTTTTTAAGTATTTTAAATGAAATTGCTATATTTTTACGTATAATTGATTTCATTGCGATAATTTTAAAAAAAAAAGACTACAAGTGAAAGAAGCATACCGAATCCGGTCTAAATACTCCATATCTGGAAATTTTATTTGCCACTTGAAAATTGTTGAAAAAGTATAAAAAGAGTAAAGTTACGTTATTGGAAAGTTTATGAAAGTGTTCCTTTTAAAATATATAAATATATATCATATTATTATATAACATATAAATATCATATTATTTATTTATTTTATCATAACGTTATTTTGTTTATAATAATTATTACGATTATTTATCCAAACCAAAATTTACCCAAATACCCATATCTTTCCCAAAAATATCATATTATTTATTTGTTTTATCATAACAAACGTTATTTTGTTTATAATAATTATTACGATTATTTACCGCTTACAGCGTTTCGCTAAAATTTATTTAAAATGTGTTTCCCAAGTTTCATGCGCATTTCACTTCAAATGGAAAAGAATCACTTTAACCAAAAATTTTTAAAATTTTGAAAACTTGATTTCTTTTCCATAATAATTAGTTTTCACTCCATTTATATATATATATATTTTTTGATAAACTGTTATTGAATAAAAACACAAATTATTTTTATACTATATTTTTATTATATAGTCTTTATTTAAATATTTTAAAAATTGTTGATATTTTGATTTAGGATCCATTATCTTATCGAACACAAGATTATTTTTATTAAATAAGTGTAAACAAATTTCGTTTTATAAATTAAAATAATAAATGCGTTAGTAAATAATTAACATAGATTAATTATTTTTAATATTTTAAAAAAATAAACATTTACATAAAAACAATTATAAAATTATAAAAAACTAAAGTACTACTAATTAAAAACAAAAAGAAACAATAAATAATATTTAATAAAATAGTTACTTTTTTTAACTCAATTGGTATACGAGTACAGTCGATTTTTGTACACAACTTAGTAAATAGTTGTTCTTAATACATATATAGATTAAATATGTTTATGTTGTTAATAAAGTAATATATAAACAAATTTAAATAGAATCTTTTTAAAAAATAAAATTCATTTTAATTATTTTAAGGCTTAAATTTAATATGTTTAATGTACACTTCTCTATTAGGAAATACAATTTATTAATGAAGGACATAATATAGTAAGAGTGTGTTAATACTGGACTAAGCTTTCTTTAAGTTAGCAATTTTAAGAACCTTTCCAACTCCACTATAGTACGTAAAACATAATATTTATTTACATTTTTATTTTTCCAAATTTTATGCGAATTATAATTTAATAACATTTATATATAATATATGTATATGAAATTATTTAAATAAATCAATTTTTATATGAACTTTCTACTTATTATGATGTTTTCTAGTAGTTTTTAATAATGTTTTTGTGACAATTTATTTTGAGTATTTAAATGAGGCTTAAAATTTTGTGTATTCGTTTTTATTATAATTAAAATATATATAAATAATCATTTAAAGAAGATTTTATCAGTCTATATAAATTTAATTTTTAGGTTAAGTTTGGTAGTATTATGTTTGTTTTTATAAGTACGCTTGTTAGTTACTATTTTGGTTTAAATCAGGTTATTTTTTATATACACTTAAAATAGTAAATCCTAATGGAATATTTAAACGATAAAATGCAAATGCTATTTCATACAAGAAATACAAATTTTTGAAATTAAAACAAAACAATGAATTTTTTTAAAAACTTGAAAATTATATACATTGTTTACAATATTTAATGACGTACATTGTTTATTTAATTTCATTAAAATACTAATAAATTATTGCGGGTATATGTACACATCTTATAATAAAATTTTCCCACAACATACATTAAAAAAGCATATTTCTTGCTCTTATGCTTAAATACAATTGAATAGATATATATATATAACATGCCATTCAGATATTATAATTATAATAAAATTCGGCTTAAAAACACATAATTTCGTTCGTTTTTTAATACAAAATTAACTAAATAAATAAGTTAACTAATCTTAAGTTGCATTCATTCGCTTAAGTTTTTAATGTATTCTTACTGCTAACTTGTGAAACTGTAGCTTCGCACAGCACGACCGGGCGTTACTAGCTCAACTTTAATATTTGCTGTGGCTGTTACTTTTGTTGTATTTGTATCAGAGTGCGTTGTTTCAACAGTGACTTCCGGTTGTACAACGATGCTTTGCAGCTCTGGTGGAAAGTTATTGGGATTGCCCAAGTTGCATGTTTTGCTTGAGTTTTGCATTTGTGGTGCATGTTCTTGTTGATGGTGGTGATAATGCGTAGATGGTGGTGTGCGTAGTGGTGTTGTTGTTGGAGGTGGCGGAATATTATAAGAATGTTGTTGTTGTGGTGGATGTTGATATTGTTGATGATGGTAATTGTAGTTATTAAAATTTCTGTTATTTATATAATGTCCATTGTTGCCATAATGTGCGCTATTTTGGTTTGTCGATGTCACACCATTGCCCCAGTCGTTATTCATTTGTATTGATGATGACGATGATTTCCATGATGGCGGCTCTTCGGTAATTGTAGTTAAAGATGGATCATTAATATTAACATCTTTATGATGATAATGTGGTTTGTTACAAGAACGTGAAGAACGTGAACCGTGCACGATAACAGTCTTATTGGCACGTTTGTTGCGCGACATAACAGGGGATGGTGTTGAAATTCGATCCGGATGTTCGAGTGGCACTAATTCAGCCTCAGGCCCAATCATGCTTAATATTATGGGAAAAACAATAAGGCTATTTAATGCACCAACACACAGCACTATAAGCAGCAACCAGAAAAAGTGGCGTATGACAAATTCGAAGGGTGAAGTAGATAACATAAATACTGCTAAAGCGGATGTTAGTATGGCGTGTACTAGCGGACTAAACGAGACTTGCATCGAAAGATGAATTCGTCGTTCGCGATTACCAACAGAGGTCATAAAACCCTAGAAAATAAATTAATAAATATATTAAAAATTAATTTTAAAAAATGTTAAAATAATTTAAAAAAAACATTTAAAAATTTTAAAACTTGGTATTTAAATATTTTTAAATTTTATATAAAAATTGACTAAGTTCAATTAATTTTCAATATATCATATTTAAAAAATTAAAAAAAAAATCATTAGGAAAAAGAAAAAATAATTTAAAAAAAATGTTTTCTGTTATTAGACATTTTAAAAATAACAACAACTATAGTATTAATTCAAGAAAGGAATTTGGATCCATAAGGAATGAAGATCCACATAGACATATTGGCCCATTGTGTGAAATTATATTACGTTGAAAAATTATATTTGTAATCCAAATTTTATTACATAATTTTAAATAAGTAATTAAGTATGTAGTACTTACCAGTGATATATGCACCGTAAAGCAAATAATCATTCCAACACTCAATATTAATATCACTGCAGGTATGGCTGATAGTTTGATACCTAAAAGTGTCATAGCGCCAAATATTTGCACTAAAGAAGCAACGACATTAACTACCACCAATAAAGCTGCCCAAGCTGAGAGCAACAGTACAGTGACCAGAAAAAATGCAGCAATAACTGAACAGCATAGTATCAGACCGAGTGAAGCACGCAATGTCATATATTGTTCCCAAAATATAAATGGAATTCCTAATAAACAACCAAAAAAATTTACATAAATACAGATATTTATTTTCCCTTAATTTTTGTTTAAAACAAACCTGAGGGATAATTGGGTAAACCACGTGTTTCAAATTTCACACTTAAATCTCTAATATGCCCGATAAGTGCTTTTATTTCAGATGTATCAGTCAAACCATGCAAATAAAATGGTAGTTGTGTATAAACTAATGGTAAGCTCTTAGGTATTTTTAAATTATATTCAGTAGGCACATGATAATACTGACGAGGTTCTGGATGAAGCTTTCCCTGTAAACAAAAAATCATATGTTAAAATTATATGTAGAAGATAAAATTTTTTTTTAGACATACCTGTGAGGCTCCATAAGCGAATACGTCATTTGTTGCCCAAGCAGACAAATAATTGTAGAAAGCTTTGGGATTTATTATATTGTCGTTGTCAACTAAGCGGTTTTGTGTTACTAAGGTTTTGTCAACTGGATTGTCTACATATCCCGTTTGCACTAGCAATTTATAGGCTAGTATAGCATCACTACTGGCATTACTGTGCCAGCCCTCTTGCGTAAGTCGCCCATCTTTGAACTCTCGATCAAATGTGCGCTGTAAATTGTTAAGCCAATCACGAAACATAGACAACCAGAAATCAGGTAAGCCTCCGTTATCATTTTTGATTACGTGTGGCACTCGTACGAAAGCATCGTGATATTCTTGCAACAAGCGTTGATTTGTAGGATACTCAAAATTACCTTGAGTCACAGCATACATGCTATAGAAACCGAACATGGTACTTTGTGCATTAAGAAATTTGTATTCGTTCGTATTTTTGGGTACTAAATCAATTAGGTCCAAACCATCCTGAAGACGTGTGGTAACGAATATACTAAAAATTACTGTGCCCACAAAAGTTGTGATCGCCAAAAATTTAATCCAACTTTTCATTAAAAATGGTGTATAATATTTAAATGCGAACTTTGATAACGAAAAACTTGGAATACGTTTTTCATTACATGAAAGTAATGCTTCCTCCTGGTGTGTTTGTTGTTGATTTTGTATGCTCTGACTGTTGGTAGCACTTTTGGTAGAACGATCGTTATGATTGTTGAGTGTGTTACTGCTATGTGGATTGCTGTATCTAGTATTATTGTTAAAAGTTGAAGCAACGGGCTTTTCTTTCCAAATTGGAAAACAACAACAAAATATATCAGCTCTACCCGAAGTACGTCGTCGTAAGTCCAATGATATCAATGCAGGAAAAACTAAAAGTACCGCGGCCAAGTTAAAACACATAACAATAGCAGCTTGCAGACAAAACACTTTTAATGCGGGTACTGGTATAAAAACGGCTGCAAAAAAGGAGCCGGCTGTGACACTGGCACTAAATAGAACACTAGGTCCTGCCTTCTTTAATATATATTTGGTTTGTTCTTTTCGATTGCTTTCAGCATAAACAGCAGTCAACATGAATATATGATCAACACCCAATCCAAGTGCTAGAAATGGTACAACTTGCGTACTGGCAGCATTGAAAACTATACCAAGCAATGCACATAGTCCTAATCCAGCAGCTGTAGAGAATCCTATTAAAAGAACGCCAGCAACACCAACACTACTTTGGCCCTTTACTGGATCTCTCCAACGTATTAGTGTACAGAAAGCATAAAAAACTGTAGCAATTACACCAATAAGTATGCTCAATGGACTGGGATTGGAAAATTTTGCAAGTATATCATCTAATGTGGCTGATGAGAATACATATATATCATAACTTTTGGAAACACGGGAATTTGTTAATAAAGTTTCCACCTCTTTTGAAAAATTACGTTGCCAAGCATTTAAAACCTCAGCAGCCTTTTCCTTTGTCCAACCAATGTGGTGTACTTTATAATTTTCTTTCCATAAATCATACATTTCCTTTTCCGTTAAAAGTTGTACCACTGTTTGTAGACCTTTTGCTTTTTTAAGATGACCAGAACGGTTACGTTCAACACCACCGACTATAAGCTCTTCTGGCCAATGCATATATTTTGCGGCATAACCGTAACAGCCGCCGGTAAGAATAGAACCCACATCTGGTGGTTGAGTGCTGTTTTTATTAGGTGCAGTATCTGGACATTGTGGATTTAAAGGATTTAAACAAGGCTTCTCTATGTATCCAGAAGTTATAGCTGCACGTTTCATATACTGTTCCACTGTTTCAAAATCAAATGAAATGTTATCACTCATTTCTTTCTTCATTGTTTGCATTAAACTTGATGGATTCAGTGTGCTCCACATTATGCGTTTATCCATGCGCTTGTCCATGGCACTAAAACTGAAACTGAGAAAAAAAAAACATAAGAAAAATTCAATTAATAATTTACATTAAATTCTTATGAGATGATTACATAGAAACTTTATATGTTTACATGTTAAGAACTTACGGTATTTCTACTGGAAATTCTGGTCCAAGTAACAAACTACCTTCCCAAAAACAATCTAGTGGCGTAATTATAGAACAAGGTATCAGATGCTTAAATATCTGCTCAATGAAATATGGTCCTTCAAAGCTGGGCGTTGTCGGCGAATTACACATATCTCGCAAACCCCATTCCGCATCGAACATATGAATTTTTACAGCAGTCGCTTTCTTTAATACCTCCAGATGTGCTAACAGTGCCTGCGGGTGCAAAACTGACGCATTCGGATCGTGTGCCGTTTGTATTATTAACTGATGCGTCGTTGATTCATCCTCGCCTATCGTTTTTTGTGTGTACGCTAACTCAGATTCTAACCGTCCTCCCTCCTGTATCCACAGCTGATGCACTTTAGAATGTATCTGTGCACTTTTTAAACCGACGCAGAATGTACTTAGCACTAGTATAGCTACAAATAATACTTTGCCAGCATGTTTTTGTACTGAACTACCAAGCGATTCAAGATGGGATTGAAACACTGATCGCAGATAAATTGCCGTTCTATTACCGCGTGCTTTACCCTGAAAATACCAAATAAACATATTTAATATCACTTTGTTTACTATATTTACTGATAATATATATTTAAGTATATGTTCAATATACATATACATACATATATGTATATCTTTCTATATGAATTGTCTACAACAATCTTGTTTCCACCATAAATAAGAGGCAAATTTTAAAAAAGCTCACAAATAGAGTCATCAAACCTTAAGTTACCAACAAAAGGTTTCAAATCTTATATAAAAAACGAAAAGAAAAAAAAAATTAAATACATAAACTATTAGGCGCACACGGGCAACATAAAACGTGGGTTACTACTACTACGTATGTTAACAACATACCCACATCTTATTCTTTCTGCTGTTATCTCAAGTAAGACATAAAAACCTATAATCGTCTTCACATTTCACTCGTAAAATTCAAGCCAAAGTACCATAAATACTAAAAGCAACGTAAGTGATACCCACCAATGAGTAAACCAAGAAGAACCTACCAAATCATGAACGAGCGGCGCATGCGCAGCCACCAACCTAACCGCCGCACCCAACTTAAAATTTTATTTATCGTTTTTGTTTTTGTTTTTGTTCTCATTGTCGTTGTCGTTTTAGATTTAGTTTTTGTGCTTTTTCTATTATTTTATAAGACAAAAACTATAAAAAAATATCATATAATAAAATGAAATAAGACAAGCAAGACAAGACAGCAACAACAACAACCACAACAACCACAACAACTACAACAACTACAATAATAATAATAATAATAACAAAATTGAGGAATTCTTTAGAAATCAACTTGCAACATCGGCAACACCAAATCAAAGTTTACGGCGCGTGTTTTAAGGTCTACGTTATACTTTAGGTTTGTATCTGAACGAAATCACGCTGCAATGCAATTTTCATGGTTGCTTAAGGTCGTATTGGAGCAACGAAGGTACGAGCCAAGTTGATACCTAGTAGCATTCCAATAGTACTTGACGCAATTCTATGCTAAATAATTAAACGGTATGCACACTACGTTCTTTTGCTAGGGGACTTTTACAAGTAATAGCGGGAATAAAATACAAGTTCTCTCAATTTCTGGAGGTTTCTTTCTTATTTGTGAAAATTGACGCTGCTTAATAGCACGACAGACGACAACAGTTAAAAAAATTCTTAGAAGTTACGTGAAGATGAATATAACAAATTTTATTAAAAAAATTTAGGTCATAGAAAGAGATATGAAAATGCAACTTCTATAGGTTTATAAAATATTATTTTAATATATATATGTATATATATATTAATAAAATAATAATAATAAAACAATAATAATATAAATAAAATAATAATAATTTGTGGACAGACAATGTATACCTAAGAAATAAAAAAACAAACGAACATATGGTTAGGGAGGAATGAAAAGAGCGATTAAGTTGGTTAGAAGTTAATATAGTAGCACAGCGTATAAGATAATGGAAAAAAATTAAATCCATACTGAATCTAGGTTTGGTATTTTACCACTTTAATGAGGCAGTTGCAGTTAAGCTTATAGTGAGGGCAACTGTGTGGCGAGTATCTTATGTTGCATGCTCAAATCAAACCTGACCTGTACTTAATAATATTATTGCACGACGTGACATAGACATGTTCTCAAAGCACAAATTTAATAAGAATAAAATATGAGAAGTTGCTTCAGTAATAAACGAAGGAACGATTGTTGGGGTATAATGAAATCACAGCCAAAATATTGAATCGATATGAAATTCATATTGATTAACAACATATTAACAACTTTAATAGAAGGAAGTAAAACTCTATTCAGTCCATATTTGTGACACCATCAGTAAAATCACCATGTGATGCCATTATTCGAAATGTATCAGTTTATTTACGATATATATTTCACTAGTGGTTATAATTACATTTAATCGATTGCGTAAACAAACATATTATTAACAAAAGGTTTATTGAAATCATTTAAATTTCAATGTTAAATTTTTTAAAATTAATATAAGTTTGACTTTCTTATAAAATGACTATTTTGGCAAAACTATTACAAAAGTTCGGTAAAAACGGGATTAAAAAACATCTACATATTTTCTAGGCACCCTATTCAAAAATAAAGAAAGGGTTTCAGAAAGGATTAATTTACAGCCAGCAATATCACGTAACCTAACCTGTGTCATTTTGGAAATACCCTGCGTATATATATATATATATATTATTTTATAATTACTAAAATAATTACTAATTTATTAATTACTATGATTACTAATTTATATATTTAATATTTCTTATATGTAATGAATACAAATACTTATTATGTTTATATACTTTTATAATTTATATCTTTTATATTTTGAAAATTGTATGTGATATTTGCATGTGATAGTCTTATTGTATTCCACTGGTCTGGTCTACCTTTCTTCCGTCTTTAATAATTAAAATTTCAAAGTCGGCGTCTCAAATATGTTTTATATGTTATAAAAATATAAAAGCGATAAGATTCGTGGTAAAATAACTGCGTTCCCTGTAGGATTTTTAAAAGTTCATAAACATCAAGAAAATTTTAAATTCCGTGATTTATCTTAATTTTTTTTATTGCTAATAACTAAACGTGAGAAGAGACAATATAACATTAGGTTTGGTTGAAACGATTACATCAAATGTAAGTATAGAAAAAAAGATATGAACGAATGGAATTTTCTTTCGTTTAATCGTTAATCGTATTTTATTCAGTAATAGTGAATGAGTAATATTCCATTCGGATTAACAAAAGAGATTTAAATCAATATTTTCAACATAGTTTTATTATTTGGTATTACTACAAATATTGTATTTTATTAATAGTTCTTATAATTTTTCAATGGAAGAACAACAAATTTCTGTTTCCTTTTTAATGGAATTTAAACTCTACCTGGTAGGAAATTTATGTGAAAAAATTGCTACTTTGAAGTAAAAATTACAAAGATCCAGGAAAACATTAAAATATTCTCTTAATTGATCATTCCACATCTGAGCCGATGAGATTAAAGATTTTGGCACTTAAAATGCCTAAAAAGTAAAGCCGAAATTCTCAGAATTATATTATTTTTTTTTCTTAGAAATTCGTAATTCGAATTCTTTCAATTTACAAAAAAAAAAAAAATTGAACAGTATTTGTGGTGGACAAATATCTTAATTAACTGCTTGTATTTAGTCAAGGATCAATTGACGACAACTGTAAATAAAATAAAACAATAAAGGAGAAAAACAAAAACACTACGAAACAAATAACTAATAACAGGATACTTGCAAGAGTATAGATACAAAGTAAAATAGATTTGAATTTAGGAGAGTACTATTTTTTCCTGGAAAGGTTTTTTTTCTTCTAAACAGTGAAGAACTAAGTAGAAAAGTATAAAAGAGAAATATCAAATAAAACAGTTTAATAGCAATTTTCTAAAATTTATGAAGCTGTTTACATTCTGTGGTTTCATGTACTCATTTGAATAATTTATAGTTTTTTAAATACAGTCAAAATTTTATAACTTGAAGTACCATTTTGCAAAGAAAAGGTTCGACTTATGGAGTCATTGAGTTAAAGAATTTGTTTGGAATTGTATGGAATTTGCTATGTAAACCCTATTTAGTTCGAATTATAGAAGTTAGATTATATTACAACATTTTAATTAATAAATTTCATTTTCTGTGTATTATGAAGACTGCATAGACAGTATTAGTTTTCCACCAGATAAACATAAAATTTAAACGCAATAAAAGAAACAGTTAGTTAACAATATTCAATAAGATATTTTAGTGAAGCGAACAGATATTCGAAAACGAAATATTGCAATTGTCAGACAAGACTGTCCAAACTACTTCTCATAAATCTAATCGTGAAACTATTGGCGCCAAAATTAAGTCATTTGAACAGTTTAAATTACAATTTGTTAGTTTCGTTGACTTTTAAAAACTAAAAAGTTATATTTCAAGTATTTCTTTAGATTTACGACCTAACTTTATCTCTCTTATTGTCATATAAAGACCCTTACGTTTGGAATCAGCTGTTAATGTTTCCATTATTGCCATACAAAATAGAATATTTTGTACAATGTTGATTGGACTTCACATTGTAGTCCATATTTATACAATAATGTAACTTGGGTTCTTAAGTAAATGAAGACCAACATTTGTTTAATAGTTTTTATTTAAGAGATCATTTGTTGTAAGAAATTTGGTTCTCTCAGCAAATAATGTCATACAGCGTTTTATCACTGCTCTGTGAAATTATATAGCAATCGATATATATTCTTATTATTAGTAACAGGCAAAAATTAAATACCGTTTTAAAATATCTTAAACTTACTTTCAAAAACATATTCTCTTTCAGAAATATTCTCTTATATTTCAATCACTATAAAACTTAATAATATCGGACTTAAGTGATTACTTTATCTATCAGAGTTCTGATGAGACAAGACGCGTAAACAACTCATTGTTTTTTGATTTGTTGGATGTGGTATTGTTGGTGTTCAGATGTAACGTATATATACGTAAAGTTCTTATACACTCATGTTTTTTCGATAATTTTGATGACATCATAATATTGTTTTATTGTATGTAATATGTTATTTGTAAAACACATTACATTATCTTCATATCTATTGTTGATCTATTTTGTCGCAAAACCTTGCTGCTCTTCAGATATATGTAACGTCGTGGATGCAATTTTAACACCGTGTTAAGAAGAATTATGTCTTTGTAATTATCAGATCATATATATCCAATATTGGCATAGTATTGTTACCTTTTCAAGCAGTCGGTGAATCTAAGTTATGGGGCCGACTTAATTATTTAATTTCCAATTTTTGGCGGCACTGGGAAACTTTTTTTTTATGTTTTATAGTATAGTTATTTTATATTTTTAAGCATTTTGTGAGTTTAACATTTTATGCAACATGAGGGTAAACTTTTACGTATGTTGTGGGACCCTTATACTTAATCACTTCGGTTCGGTTTCGATTTGATTTGAGTACTAAGTTTTATAG